ATGTTGTATTTCAGGCAGAGATTTTCCCCAGCAAAGACAAATAATTTCAAAAGTACACAAAGGGAAGTACTGCCATCTGTTAAAGCTGAAAATTAGGCACATTAAATGTAAGAGATTGTAGTAGATGAGGCTGGAAAGGAAGGGCCATATCATGAAGGCTCTTCAGTGCTATGCTGAGCATCTGGCCTTTATTCTTCAGGAAAGGAGCTACCGAATATTTCTAAGCAGAAGTGTAATAATCGTATCTTAGGAAGTTTAATCTAGTGGTAACATAAAGAATGGATTGAGGCCGTAACCGGTTTAGTTCAGTGGATAGCGAGTTGGCCTGCAGACTGAAGGGTCCCAGGTTCAATTCCGGTCAAGGGCATGTACCTTGGTTGTGGGCACATCTCCAGTAGGGGGTGTGCAGGAAGCAGCTGATCGATGTTTCTCTCTCATCGATGTTTCTAACTCTCTATCCCTCTCCCTTCCTTTCTGTAAAAAAATCAATAAAAAATTTTTTAAAAAAAAGAATGGATTGAGGTGACAGATGGTTACTAGACCAGTTTGTAAAGTATAGAAATGTTAAATCAGCATGTTTTACACCAAAATTAATATATATCAACTATAATTTTGTTTAATATATATCAACTATAATTTTGTTGGATGGATTGGAATGGGGATAGGGGCTGAAGACTGCAAGCAGCATTTTAGGCGACCTTAAAAGTCCAGGTGAGATGAACATCTACAATCATTCTGAATATCTATAATAAGAATAGACCAATTATAAACATTCCTGGAGTCAACTCAAGAAAATCTCATAATGCATTGTACAGAGGAAATGCTAGAGAAATCAGTTTACTATGAGATGACTGTGTTCTCCATATTAGGAGAAAAAAAGAACAGCTAATGCTTGGGGGCAAGAGTGGAGTTTGGATTTGATTACAAGGTGTATTAGAACTTAAGTGAGAACCAATGCTAAGTAAAGTCATGAAGACAGTTCAAGGACCCAGTGTAGAGACCTAAGAGAAATAATCATGGAGACTAGGTTAAATAATGGAGAGGCTAAAGAAGCCATCCAAAGAAACAGAACAAAACAAAACAGATGGGTCATACAGAGTTTTAAGGAGTAAATGACTGACAAGTGCCACAGGGTTAAACAGAATTTAGAAATTCAGCCACTACCCTAGCTGACAAGCTCAGTGGTTAGAGCATTGGCCTGCATACTGGATGGTCTCAGGTTTGATTCCCAGTCAAGGGCAACTACCTGGGTTGCAAGTTTGATACCCACTCTGGATCAGCCTGCGTGTGGGAGGCAACCAATCAATGTTTCTCACATCCATGTTTCTCTCTTTTTATCCCCATTCACTGCCCCCCTCCCTTCCACTCTAAATCAATGAAAAAAATATCTTCACTCTCCTCAGGTGAGGATTAAAAAAGAAAAATGCAGCTACTGCATTTGGCAAATGATGTCCTTTGAGAGAACCATTTCAGCTGAGTGATTAAATTTGAGGATTGCAATTGTAGTGATATGAGGAAGAAGTAAAGGCAGACATATTTTCAAAAACTATCAATCAGGAATAGAGATGGAACAGGAGCATAAACAGAAGCCAAACACAAGAGGTGTTTTTTATTGATTTTAGAGAGGGAGAGAGAAACATCAATGTAAGAAACATCCATCAGCATGACACCCTCAACTGGAGGTCAAGCCTGCAATCAGGGCATGTGCTCTGATCCAGAATTGAACCAGCAACCTCTTGGTGCATGGGATTACACTCAACCAACTGTGCCACACCTGTCAGGGTGAGAAGTTGTTTTTTTAAAGATGACAGACCTGAGACTTTTCATATAAAAATTTCAAATAAAAACTTGAGGGGCAGCTCTAGCCGGTTTGGCTCAATGGATAGAGCACTGACCTATGGACCGAAGGGTCCTGGGTTCAATTCCCGTCAAGGGCCCATACCTCCCTCTGTTACAGGTTCTTCCCTGGCCTTGGCCCTGGTCAGGGCGCATGCAGGAGGCAACCAATCAATGTGTTTCTCTCAGATCGATATTTCTGTCTTTCCCTCTCTCTCCCACTCTTTCTGAAAAATCAATGGAAAAATATACTTGGGTGAGGATTAAAAAAGAAAATAAATAAATAAATAAATAAATAAAAGCTTGAGGGGCAGATAAAATTACCCAAATAAAATTATAAATATTGTATTACTCAAAATATTTGCAACTATACTGATTTGACTGGGAGTCTGCATACTTAGTAGTCTTCAATAGTACAACAGCAGTGAACTTGATAGAAAAGTGTAGGCATTTTAAAAACATGGATGCATAAATTCTAAATTCAAAAAAGTATAGAATGTCTCATTTTAATGCAGTTCTTGGAAAGCAGATAATAGCAATAAAATATACAACTAATACATTTTATGTATTTATTTAATCCTCACCCGAGGATATTTTTTCCATTGATTTTTTTAGAGAGTGAAAGGGTGGAAGTAAAGAGAGAAATATCGAGATGTGAGAGATACATCAATTAGTTGCCTCCCACACCAGCCCCAACCAGGGCCAGGGAATGAACCCACACCTAAGCATATGTCCTTGCCCGGTAATCAAACCTTCAACCCCTGAGTCAGTGGGCCAACACTCTAACCACTGAGCAACTGGCCAGGGGCTAGTACATTTTATTTTTAATTTCTAGTTAACATAAATTCTGTTTCCCCACATTTTGTTCTCAGCTCATTCACATTCCCTGATTGGCTCTGAAGTCCTGGAAAGGAAGATTAACTGAAACACAAAATGTTTTCCTCTCCTTACCCTTCCCTCCCAATATACTGTATATGATATATAATGTCTATAAACTTAGAAAGGAAAGATATCTCTGCTTTTCAGCTCCTTGTGCTTGACATTCTAAAACGGGTGGAGAACCTTTTTTCTGCCAAGGGCCATTTGGGTATTTATAACATCATTCTCGGGCCATACAAAATAATCAACTTAAAAAATTAGCTGCTATATTTGGTCAAACATTTAATTAACTCCTAATGCCTTAGGAGGGCCAGACCAAATGATTTTGAGGGCCTTATACAGCCCAAGGGCTGGATGTCCCCACCCCTGTTCTAAAAAGTGATCATTTCCATCTGTAGTATGCAGTAGGTTAGAGGAAGAACTGAACAGAAAAATCAGAACAGAGATAAAGGAATTTATACCTCTCCTGAGTTGTCCTCTTAACTATATCAGAGTTATACTGTCTCTGCAAAAGACATCAAATATAACTCTTCCATGAAACAGACAACACATTCTAAAACCAGTAAAATTTTGTTTATATATCAAAGCAGTTATATCAGGTGGAAGAAACATTAAGAACTGTTCTACCACTTTGAAGACATAAAATTCATGTCACTTATCAGCTTAAAAGTATTTAGAAAACAATTCGACTTTTGTCCTCCCCTCCTGAGATTGAAATGGTCATGTCTAAAGGGAAGGGAGGTAATTTACCATGCCATCCCAGCACCCATACCTAAGTAGTTTAGAGAATTTGTTTAAGGTAATCTTCAATATTTTCTGTTGGCATAAATTAATTTATGGTAATCAGTTAAGAGGGAAAAAAAACTTTCATATTGGAATCATTTTCTAGACCTTATGGCTTCTGTTGAAGACATAGAAACAAGAACTTTTAGACGACGAGATGAAAATAAAAATCAAATGTAAAAAAAATAATTACAAAAACAAAGGTAAAAAGATTATGGTTATCAATTTTAATATTTATTGAAAGGTGGAAGACAAGGAAAATCCTCTCAAACTCCAAAAACAAATCTTGCACCTTTGCTAAGTGTAAAATGAATTTTGAGATACTTGCTTTACATGACAATGAACTTGTCAAAAAAAAAAAAACCCAAAAAAACCAAACTGAATGCAATTTAGCAAAATAGTGCTAACCTATTATTTACAAAAATGATCTCACCTGCCATGTGTGTTTGAGAAAAAAAACTGTTACACTCGGGAACACTAATGAAATACTTTGAAGACTTAACCCAATAAATCTTTCCTACCTTCCAAGACCCACCACCCAAAGTTATAGAGTGTACTGAAAATGAATATATGTGGAAGCAAATGTAAGTATTTCCAATAATCTTACACACATGCACACACACACATAGATGTGCTACATTAACCTAATCTTTATTGAAGGTCAACAGCCTAGTGACAAGAAAGATAATGAATATGGCTTTTGTAAAGTTTTCAACTAATTATCATAAATGCTTAATTCTTTTGCTAGCTAACCAGCTAACCTGAGTATTGAATATGTATTACCTAGATAGTTAAAAGGGTATAAACAAAAGTAATTTTTAAAAAAAGTACTGTCATAGATACCACTGAGGTACTTTAGTTTTTTTCTAACGGTCTATGTATCAATTTAATAATTTACATAACTATTCTATATAGTATAAGATCATATAGAAGCTGTATCTTAAATGTGTTATTGTGCTGGTCCAAGACATTTGAAATAACAGCAAAAAACCTGTGTTCAGATAAAGAACTGGAATGTACTGACTAGGAAACCATCGATATGCTGCAATATTGAAATAGAAATTGTGTGTAACAAAAGTAGTCAAAAGAATTCTCAGATTGCATCTGAAGAGGATTTTAAAATCATAATCCATACAAGGAACTTTCAGCATTATTCAATGTAACAAGGCTATATCTTGAAATCTGAATTTGAAATTGATTTATATTTCACGTCCACAGAGATGTATGTATTTTACAAAACAAATTTGCAAAAGATGGAGAAGTTTGACTTTAGGCTATATAGGAAACAAAAGGAAACCACTGTTTTGTTAGATAGATCTTTAAATTTAAATTAAAAGTTTCATTTCATTCCGGCCAGTGTGGGTCAGTGGTTGAGTGTTGACCTATGAACCAGGAGGTCTTGGTTCGATTCCCGGGCAGGGTACATGCCCAGGTTGTTGGCTAGATCCCCAGTAGGAGGCATGTAGGAGTCAGCCAATCAGTAATTCTCTCTCATCATTGATATTTCTATCTGCCTAACCCTTCATCTCTGAAAGCAATAAAAGTATATTTTAAAAAAATAAACGTTTAATTAAGGCTCGTATATTTTGGAGGGATACCCAAGATATTTTATTACAGTATGATCTTATATATCTATGTGTATGCTACTGGAAAATTGGAACTAAAATCCTGTTAAATATATTACCCTTCAATTAAAAGCAGAAAACCAGAAAAATATCCCCTATTTCTCAATACTGGTTTGTTACGAACTTTTGTCTCCTGAAATGGTAGGTGCAAATACATAAATTTAGCTTTAAGAGGAGATTAAAGTGAGGGATAGGATAAAACAGTAAGATATAAAAGAAAGTCCTTATTTACATTATCATGATTTGTATCTTCTTTATTCCATGAAGATTCCTATGTTGTAAATATATTGATTTCCCACAAACCATTGAGATTTCCAACAATATTTGCCTACTCTTTTCAACTAGGGGCCAGAGATGATATAATTGCTATAGTTTATATTTTTCTGATGAAATGCCTCTTTCTAAATGGCTTCTTCCTAACCAGAAAAATAAGCAGTTTTATGGGTATCACAAATGAGGCTGGGGCGGAAACCACTGAAATGAGAATAGCAACTCTAGCCCAAATGGCAGCACAAAGAACCCCAGTTGAAAGTCATCAACCAAAGTATAAGCCCAGAAAAATAACAAAGACAAAATAGATTTGTAATAAGCAGAGTTGCTGAAATCCATCACTGAAGACAATTATTTTAATAATCTTTAGCTAGGCACTGGCAATCCTGTTTCCTACCCCAATTTTACTTTCTAGAGCTTCTTTTGAAAACAAATGCAGTTGACCCTTGAACAAGAGTTTGAACTGCGTGGATCCACTTATACACAGAATTTTTTCAATTGACCTGTGCAATTCAAACCTATGTTATTCAAGAGTCAGCTATAGTCTGTTATTTACCTTGCTAGGGTAGGCAGAGGGATCCTTAGAAAGAAGAGAGAACACTTTTTGTTGGCTACATCTCTGTATGAATCGTGTCCTTATTTTAAGATTTTATATTTGCCATATTTTCTACCTGCTTTGCAAGAAAAATGTAAAAGGATTTTAACTGCCACAGTTAAACTTTCTGTAAATATGTTTTACTCAACTACTGTTAGGTATAGCAAAGGTGCCTATTAATAAGAAAATCATCTCAACTTATCATTCCATACACTACAAATAAAATTTATGTTAGGGCTATGTAATCTGGCCACAAAACTTCATTAATTAGAAGGGTTAGATATCACTAACAGACTTGTTTTGCCCAACTTAACAAAATTATTTCTGTTACCTAAACTGCTTTCTTAATGTTGAATATAAATATTTTAAAATGAATTCCTGGGAGTAGGGCTACGAAGTTTCAAACATTCATCTTATTCAGCAATTTAAGAAGTTATGTAAAATGATATATATATATATTCCCATACATACACACACATAAATATGCTTTCATAACTGAATCTTGGTTTTAAAAATGCTTACACAATGTGGGGAATTTAAATATTCACTAGATTTGAATATGTACATTTGCTCTCCTTTACCATTCTAAATGGATACACCAGCAGACACATGATAGATTAAATAAATGATTTAACTGAATTATCAGTTTGTCTTTTGCACACCCGACAGAAAACATATTTATTATGAACCTTTATTAAGTGGCTCACACTTCAATATAAATCACACTAAAAAAAATTTTAAAGCTATTTACACTACAGTGCTGACACATTTAAAATGAAAAAAAAAAATTGGTATAAATAAGCTCTATGGAAAAGCCTTAAATTGTTGAAAAAGAATTCT